GTCTGTCGGTACTCGGCCCCGAGGTATCCGCTTTCCGTTGCTTGTGCCTAGAGGTGGTGGACTTGTACAAACGGCGTGCTGCCGGCAGCATTAGACTGGTCAAAATCGCGTCGACCCATGTGTGGAGCAGCCCGTTCGGACCATGTCCGCCTTCCGGCCACCGGATATCGTCCCCAACCCTTTCAAGAAAAATAAAAATAAAAAGACTGTTTCTTCTTTCTCGCCCATGCATGCGTCTGTTACAGTGTGAGCGCGCCAGGAGCCGACCATCGCCGGCGTATCGTCAGAAGACCGAGATAGAGGTAGAATGGTGCGCGGTTTTACTGTACCGCGCATGCAGCCACATCCCTGGCAGATGTTTTGTTCTGCAGCAGACTACAGGCGCCAAGGCCAGTTCCGGAGCCAGAAGAGAGGGATGGATGCCGCCCATTATCCCACGCCCAGCGAGCATGCGCATCCTTGGTGCATCCAAGGAGCAGGGGCCGATCCTCGTAAGATGCAGCTGGCGGGTACCTCGGATCTCGAGGACGACGGGCAGCAAGGTGCCCTACCCTGCCCTACCCTGTTTCGTTCAGGTACCCATACATTGGCCGTGCCGTAGGTAGGCGTACTGCAGAGTAACGATCCCACATCGATTTGTGTGTTGCGGTCGTGACGCTTGCAAGGTTAGCCATCGTCTCATCAATTTATTTGTTTTATTCTTTTGGCAGAACCAGGGTCGAGGGAGACCTTGCCCCATTCGAGGGCACCCTTGACGTCGAACCGTTACAGGCGACCCATAGCCTGCACCGTACATAGTAGTGTAGCATGTGCAGTGCGCCATGATGAAGAGTCGATCTCGTTACTGAGCACTGCTGCTGTTCTCTTCTCGTGCGTGTGTACAGTACGTGTGGTCTGGTGTGTCCGTCGAGGCGGTTCAGCATGGATGGCCCAAGTTGCTAGCGTTGGCAACCGTGTATAAAGACAGTCGCTGATGACGGGCAAAACAGGGGTTGACGTAATGGTGGGTGCTTTCCCGGCGTATTTTGGGGGTGGGAGAGGCCGTGGGAAGACGAGATGGACCGATTCAACCGCGTGTATCGTGTGTCGTGGGTGTGTCAAGTGTAGGCCGACTAGATAGGGACGTAGAGCGGCACCCCAAGGACGCCGAAAAACGGAGGCTAGTAAAACACCGAGTGACGGACGCAATGGCTACGAATGCCGGAATGCGTGAGGCGGCTTGGTGCTGATAACAACGCAAGAGACAGAGAGCGCAGCACGATATAGGATGCCAGACGCGCCGTTGGTAGCACATCAAAAAATCAAGGGTTCATCACATCCGCTGGCGCGTGCTTGCCTGCAGGTGGGATCCAATCCACCCACGCACGTATCCTCATCCTGAAGAAAGGGGAGTTGGGGTTTTTTCTTTCGGGGGGGTGAGGGGTGAGGAGAGACAGATAGGGAGGGGTCGAGATGGCGGCTGGCGGGTGGATGGATACCTTTGGGTCCATGTCAGGCAGGTAGGCGTCTTTTGAGTGGAAACCTCCAGTTGACGGAACGCGGGAGGAACTGCACCAGGACCACATTCGCGGGAGCGCACGCCTGCTGCAGGTTGCACGGGGCAGGCACTGGAGGCACTGGGCGACACCTACGTGCCAGCGTAGGAACCACAGCGGCAGACAGCTTGTGTGGATGCTCTGGCGGACGATGCTCACAGCTTACAGCTAGGGGGTCCAGAGGGGGTTAGGTAGGGGTTGGGGGGAAGATCTGAATACCGGAGCCGCGAACGCCCTGAACCCCGGGGCTCTGGAAAGGGTGGTGGGTGCTCTGCAGCTTCGGGGCAAAGGCGCACGAAGCACGAGGGACGACGACCGGAACAGTGACCAAAGGGAGAGGGAAAAAAAAAGGGGGGGCTATGGAAGACTTCGAAGAATCGGAAGAAGGGAACAAAACTGGGACGGATGAAGGACTCGAACCTCGACCGGGGACCTGTTCGGGAGACTTCCTAGTCGGCAGGGAACCAAGTGCAATCACTCGGCAGGCACAGATGAAGGAGAGGGTGGACGGACGTAACGGATTTGCGGATGTACGTTCAGTTGCGCGCATGTGTGTGTGAGCCCTGCCTTCCTTCTCTGACGATACGATACGACACGACACGACACGACACAGTGGTGCAGGTGCAGCGAGCTCTTTTGCTCGAAGGTGGTTTCATTTTCAGGAAGGTGTGCGATTTCGATTGCGGAGTTCGTTCCGCTCCGTGTGCAGGTACATAGTAGCATAGCAGCAAACGCGGAAGACCAGGCAGGCGTGGCAGGCAAACAGGGCAGCGCACAACTCTCAGGCAAGGAAGGCGTGCAGGCAAGGCAGGCAAGGCACAACTCACAAACAAGGCATAGGTAGGCACCTAGCAGCAACACGCAAGGTTGGAATAAATACCTTGGACTGTACAGATGTACGAATACGTCCTACGCAGGAAGGTGCCCTGCTCCGCGACGACCTTTTGACTTTGACTTCCTCATCTGCCTTGCGGAAAACCAACTGGATGGTAATTTGGTGAAAGGCAAATTATCCTGTCCCTGTTTTTCCGGACTTGCTGTAAACTGTATGTTGAGGTGGGAGAGGAACAAGAAAACAAGACGATGCGAGGGGAGGGTTCCCCTGGACAGTTGGAACAGCGTTTGATGACGACCCGGCCACGAGGCATGCGTGGGAAAATGGCACCCTATTACGGTCAAGGCAGACGGTGAGACAGTGACTCGATTCGATCACCACGATTCGGTGCACGATGCAGAGACGGTGAGGTAGACAGAGAAGGGCGAGCAAGAGAATCACCGCATCCAAGCATAAACAATATCGCATTGCATGGCCATGTAGATCTAATGCAGACTTTATCAAAGTCATGCCTGCTTCTCTCTCTCTCTCTCTCTCTCGCCCTCTTCCTAGTCCAGTTCCTACTCCTATTCCCCCTCCTTATTGTTCGATCAATATTCTACCTCTTCCGGCACAGGGCAGTGCACGATCATCATTGAGTTTCGAACCGGATGACCACCGTACCCAAGCCCATCGCCCGAATATGGTTCGCGTCACCGCCCTGTTTGGAGACAACGGCATGGGAAGGCGGAAACCTGTGCAAATGCTGACAGGTCGGCAAAGGTACCTTGTCCATGTACCCTCTTTTCCCTGGCGGACAAACAAGTACCTCATGGATGGATTACTAGGGGCAGTTAGTTCGCAGGTTTTTCCCTCTTGACACTCGCCTGCACAATGGACGTCGACCGAACCAAGTTTGCATTACCTCATCTCTATTTCCTCGTGTGTATTTTCCCAAACGCACACCACCGTCTCCGGAGCCCTGGATCACCGCCGTCGAGGACCCTGTCTGTCTGAATCTGCCCATACCTTTCTTACACGTACAGTCGCCGCACACAGTGCTCGCCCTGTGTGCGACCATCTCCGAGGCAGGCGTGCGTGGACAGGCATTGGCATTGGCAGGCGCCTTCCCTCGAAATTTTTTCGAGTGCCCTGGAAATCAGGAAGGTAAGGTACATGGGTTATTGTACCTTCCCGTCCTGCTTCGCTCTTGCCTGCTAGGTAATTCATTCTTCCTTCTTTCGTGGGTGTAGGTAGAGGCAGTATTTGAATTTTCCCTTCTCCTTGGGAGCTTCCATCCCCTTCCATCCTCTCTTCTTTCTCTCTATCCCTCTCTCTCTCTCCCCTCGTGCACACTCGAAACTCCTATCTTAGTTCCCTCTCGTCCGCCTGCTGCCGACCTGTGGTTGCACGACCTCCGCTCGCCCATAGCGCTGACTCGACGGGAATTCCATCAGTGAGAGTCAATACTCGAAACGGGACGACCAAGAACCCGGCCAATCTGATATTTATCACCTTAACCCCAAAGTGGATTGACCGCAGAAAAGGAACAAGAAAACGGGTCCCTTCTTTCCCCCCCTCCCACACCCACTTCCTACACCTCACCACCATCTACCTACCTACTCACTTCTCTCTCACATCCACATCCGTACACCCCCCAAAATTTGAACCATCCGCCAATGCTTTGATCTAGGACCGCGGTGGTATCCAACTTTCTTGTTCTGATCAGGTCTTGTCCTGCCTTTTTTTTCACCCAAGTCTACTTGACAAGAAGGTACTTGCCTTGGCATCTTGCAGCAGGAGAGCGCGCAAGAAGCACTGTACCTCACACAGTCCTTGCACAAAAAGGAATAACCCACCCATCCCAATCCACCCCCATCCTTTACTCCCTCTCTTCACCTACCGACCCATCATCCGTCAACCAGGATTTCCGACCAACGGCCAACCTCCCACACTTTCTCCGAAAAAGGCCCTTCATAAAGACCTCGTAGTCTCCACTCCTCCCAGAAGGGGCGACGTCCAAACCCACTTCTTCCCTTTTTTTCCCTCTCCCCTCCACCTCTTTGGACGGAGTGACCACTGCTCAACGGTTCCTGCTTTGCACACCCTCGGCATCCACCCCGGCAAGACCACTTTTTTCTCGTCCTTCCCACCCTCTGACCCCCTCTCGGCGCCGCCAGGTACCTGACAGGCTTTTCTTGCCGAAGACAACGACGCGCCAGACAGGAAAAAAATAAAAAGGATCGAGCCCCATCTGCTCCACTCCCGACCCTCCCCAAAACCACCTCCAAACGGGATCAACTGGAGCCTCAATCCCACCATCAAAAGTCCACCTTACAAACAACACCTTCTTCGCGTGTTGTCTTCTTCGGGTTCGCGACTTTCCATCATCCTCCTGGCGGAAAGCTTATTCTGAAGAATCTCTTTTCACCTGCACCTTCAGCTTCCACTCGAGTATTCCCTTTCTCGGCGTGCAGCATCATTTTCGACTGGGTCAGCGGCTTCATTGTCTCTTGTCCCACAAAAATTTTCCACGAGGCCTTCGACGAGTCCCCGTACAGACGTAGGAACGCGTCTTGACCTCGCAACAAGCAAGCTGCTCTGTGCGCCTTTGTCTCGACAAAAGGCCAACAGACAAGTCAGTGGATAGCATGGACGCTTCCCAGTACCCTACCAATGGTATAAACACGACCTCGGCCTCTTACCCGTCGCCCCCCGCCATCACGCCTCACCAACTTCAGCACACCAACTCCCCGCTGCCTCACCAGACTCTGCCGCCTTTGCAGCCGCAGACCTCCGCCGCCATGAACCAGATGTACGGCAGCAACCCTCACACGCCTCGCACTCCTGCTACTCCCAACACTCCGGGTTCGCAGAACAACATGCCCGCCTACCCCCAGCAACAGCAGCAGCAGCCGGGTCGTGGCGGTCCTTACCAGCAGATGGGCCAGTATCCTCCCCCGCCCCAGGGCTACGGCACTCAGTCCATGTTGCCCCAGACCACGATGGCTTCTTCTCACCCTCAGCCCATCGCACCCGCGCCCGCCTCTGGTCGCGTCCCTCCCGTCCTCCGTCCCATGCCCGCCGGCGGCGTCATGCCCCAGCCTGGTATGAACTCCCCCTACGGACCTGGCGGTGTCATGCCTGGCGGTCTTGGTGACGGCGACCAGCCCACTCACGTTGTCGGCTCTCAGGGTCGTCGTGGCATCCTGCCCAGCGCGCCTGGACGTCCTGCTGCCACTCCCGCTGGCGCCGGTAACACCAAGAGCACTGTCATTCCGGTCAAGGATGCTGACGGCAAGTTCCCGTGCCCTCACTGCACCAAGACCTACCTCCATGCCAAGCACTTGAAGCGTCACCTTTTGCGCCGTAAGTACCCCCATCCGCGATTGACGACGGCTCTTTTCGCTGACGGTTGTGACCAACAGACACGGGCGACCGCCCTTACATGTGCGTACTGTGCCGCGACACTTTCTCGCGAAGTGACATTCTCAAGCGTCACTTCCAGAAGTGCTCCATTCGCCGAGGCAACCCGACTGGTGCTAGCCACTTGTCCCACCCTCAGGCTCATGTCAAGAAGAATGCTGCTGCCCAGAAGGCGGCTCTTGGTCAGGATGGCGGTCTCAACCACCTCAATGGTCTGGGTAACATGCCTGGTGATGGCATGGTTCAGCCTTTTGGTATGATGCCTGTGCAGGACGGAATGAGCAACCTTGCAAACGATCAGAGTCAGTTGTCGCGCTCCAGCAGCCTGACTAGGCTTGATAATGGCAGTAACCAAGACAGACGGGATTTGACAGGATCTGTCATGGATGCTTCTGGCCGAGGTGGCAACTTCGAGCAGGCATACAACGGCAATGTCCCTAGCTCCATGACGCCCAATATGAATCAACAGATGCAAAACTACAATATGCCCCCGGGTCAAAATGGAATGTCCATGTATGGCGGGTCGAACTCGAACCAACAATCGGGCCTTGATTGGTCTCAAATGTTCCAGGCTGGTGCGCAACAAACCTACGCAAATCATCAATTCCCCCTAATCTTGGACAGACGCAGATCGCAACCAAACCCGAGCCTAATACCGGCACCGAAAGAACAATAGGTCCTCCTGGCCCCCAAAACCACCCCGAATCTCTCTTCTTCTCGACCTGGGGCGTGCCGCCATCGATCCAGGACCCCTTCACTCAACTCTCCAACCAGATCCTCAACTTCTTTTATCCTCCAGGTTCCCCGATAACCAACGAAAGCGCCGGCTTCAATCTATACTTCTCGGCCGAAAACATACGTGACTTTTTGGAAAAGTACACCCACTTCCATGTCCACTTTCCTATCCTCCATACCCCCACGTTCCGCATCATGGAATCTTATACAGGCTTGCTGGCTGGCATGTGCTGCATCGGCGCTTGCTACTCGGATCGTCTCTCTCCAGATCACGTGCGCGATATGATGAATTTCCTCAGAACGGCACTGGTCCGGGATGTGCATTTTCTGGCTACGACGGTGGGCAAGCAGCAACAAAATGGTAATGTTAACGCTGGCGGCGACTCGAGTAACGGTCAACGTGAACTTGAGGAGCTTCAGGCCGTTATGCTGCTCCAAATTTTGCTGATCTGGAACAGCACTCCTCAGCACCGTGAGAGTGCTCGTGAGATTTTCCCAGCCATGGCGGAGCAGGCTCGCAGGCTTCGTCTCTTGGAGGTCTCCACCAGAATGCCCCTCTTCAGTCCGCTGCACCAGAGCAACTTTACCCCTCAGAACTTCGACGTCTCCACATTCGATTGGGGTGTGTGGGTTGAACAGGAAAAGCGGATACGCCTCATGCACATCATCTTCCTTTGTAACTCCGCCATGGAACTCTATTTCAACGCCCGCTCTCACATTGACAGTCTGGAAATGCATATTCCGCTGCCATCCGATGATGCCGCATGGGATGCACGGACGAAGAAGGATTGCGAGGACACTCTTGGTCTGCATGGAGAGGAGCTGGCACGACAGAAGAATCCTAACGGGACGCAACGCAGCAAGCAGCCTGAGATGAGTTATGCCCTCCAAGCATTGCTACATGGCTCGTATCAGATCCAGCCAGGCAGGACGAACCTTTACGGCAAGTTCATTCTCATACACGCCATTCTATCGTTGATCCGACGCGCTCAGTTGGACGGCAGTGCCGTGATGAAGGGGTACGCGACGCCTCCCATGAGCGACTGGATAACGAGTGGAGGGTCAGATGCCAATGGCGCCAACAGCGGCAGGGGCACACCAGTTGACCCTGCTCTCCAAGGCATTCCGGCCCACGTTTATGACTCGTTGCGAATGGCATTGCAAAAGTTCAAGACCAACTGGGACGCGGACATGGTCAATCAATTTCCACCTGGATCGGCGAAGAATGCTCGCCGATATGGGTTCTCTAGGGATGGTATCCATTTCTACTGGCTTGCCAAGTACCTTCTTAAGCATACACGGACATCGGAGTTACAGATGGACCCCGACGCGCGGTTCATCCAGGTGATGCATCTGCTCAAGTCAGTGAAGGCTTGGGTGATGTCGGACGGGGCAACACGGGGCGAGGAACTGGGATCGGTTGGAGAAATCGACAAGGATTTTGGAGTGGCGAACCTGACACTCGACATGGCACGACTTTTTAAACCTCTTCCGGCGGTGGTGGAGGATCCAGGAATACCTTCTGTTCAAACGAATATCGGTACGGCGGGCGGCGGCATGCTCTGACATTTTACAAAAAAAAACCAACTGCATTTGGTGGGCGTTTGTTTTACTTGGTTTTTTCATTTTCATTTTCTTGCTTTACTGTTTCCTCACGGATCCGTTCTCATCGACTCACATGCTTTGTTGCGGAAAAGCATTCTCGATTCCCTACTGCATCAAAGCCGGATCGACGGTGGTTAGTTCTGATATGCATCTTGTGGCGGGTGGTTTCACGCAATGATAGACGGGGAGGCGGAGTTGGCACTGCATTAGACTGCGATCAGATAGAACTTGGGAGGCTCTCGGGTGGCACCAATGGTGACCCGATGAGGTTGTCACGATATTCATGGCTTTTCGCTCATAATGATTCGTTTTGGCGGTCCGTGTGGCTAGACTGGTCTGGTCTAATGGTAGATGTCTGAAAATGGGTGGCACTCGTCCTTTTATCGCATCAATGAGGTAGAAAACCTGGTCTGCAGAGAGGCATCGCTGTAAGCCAAGTTTTCGTTTCTCTTTGCAAGTTATGGCATGAAATTAGATATTAGAATTGCAAAATTGACTCGAATGCAAAAAGCAACTCTTGGCTTGATGTGTATTGATGCTTCGAACGGTCCGATTTTCATGTATGATACATTTTGTGTCGTTGATACTACAACCAGAAGAGCAACGATATCGTGCGCCGACGCGGCCTACTGAATAGAATGCCCTAAGAATGACCAAGGACCCTCCCATCTCATGACACTTGGCTCCCGTCCTTCTATTCCGGTCTCAAGCGGACACGCTGGCTACCTTGGTGCCAGACGCGCATTCTCACTGCGAGCTACTCCTTGGACCTGTCGACAACGGTAACCTTGGGCACATACTTGTCGACGACGGCTTTCTCCTCCGGAGTCGGCTGGTACTTTTCCTCTGCCTGGTCGGAGAGGTAGAGCCCGGCGGCGCCCCAGGCCAAGACCGCGACGCCGACGCCCAGGCGGGTCTTTGGGGAGAGGTTCTTGTAGGCCCTGCCGGGTTTGGGTTTCGTGTGAGTGATCTTGGCCTGCGAGAGGGGAGGGTATTGCCAAGATGTGTGTGTGTATGTGTGTGTGTGTGAGGTGGGTTAGCGGGCGTTGAGCTTACTTGAACATCTGGTCTCAGGAATAAGGTGTGCGAATATGGCGAAGAGGTCAGGTAGGTGGATGAGTGGGAGATTTCAGGACTGGGTGGACGGCATCACTGGCATTGCGACATGTGAGTAAATAGCTAGCAGATGACTTGAAAAGTGAGGCTCAAGGCTTACCTTTTTGATGAACCATTAATTGAGGTCAAGCGATTGTCGTCGAGCGTGGTTGATGGAGTTTTACGAGGATGAAGTTCCTAGAGGTTCTGGTAGTTGCGAAAAGGGCCTTCGCAGCCATTGGACGGCGGAGGGGGCGTGAAATTAGTGGGCTTGGAGTGAGTATCCCCACCCCCTTTGCCCGAATCCAACGTCAAGTGTAACCTATCTTTCTTCAACACCAGACGGCCTTGAGTGGTCCCCATTCAAGTCTCTATTGGCTCTCTATTGGCGCATTGTAGATACCATTTGAAATACATTCAGTTGCCAAGGACACCACCCGTGAGGACATGGCAGCAAACGCCCTGCCTGTGGAGTTGATCGAGCTCATCTTCGCCTACGTCTCTCCGGTCGACGACAAGAAAAACCTCAGGCTCTCGTGCCGCGCCTTTGCTGACGCCGGGTTCTCTTGCCTCTTTGATACAAACTTTACGCATTTGAGCTGGCGCGACGATGTCACGAGGCTAGAGAATTGGTCGCGCCACAACCGGCTTCGACGTCACCTTCGGTCCTGGACGTTGAACCTGGCGCGCCTGAACGAACACTCCGGCCGTCATGCAAGCTTCTTCCAGTACTGGTTCATGGACCCCGAGGATAGGGAGGCGGTGGTGCTGAGACAGGGCTGGGCAGAGTTTTACGAGGCCGAGGCGAAGAGGAAGAGTATCGCACCTCTTTGCACTGAAGAGGAGGAGAATGCGGAGCGGCTGGTCGATGCGGCGGGGAGGTTGGAGGCACTCGAGGAGGTGAAGATTCTGTTCAATGAGTGTCCTTATGATGGCGTGGTCTTGAGAAGGGCCTTTGCGGACCCGTCTGTGAGGTGGTTCGAGGCGCGGGAGGTGGGTACGAAATTTGAGATGCTGACTAGGGTGTTGAGGAATTGTGGTCGTTTGAAGAGGTTGCAGGTTGACCGCCTTCCCATGAAAGCGACGCCGTCTGTTGATACGGAGAGGATCTGGAGCGGGTTCGCAAAGAGCGTGGGGACAGGGCTGGAGGAGGTGAGGCTTGGTCTTGACTTTTCGAATCCGTTCGAAGAAGAGATGACCGGAGAGACAACGGAGGTCCCTCGTAGCTGGACTGAGCTCGTGGAAGTGGTGTTAGCGAGTTGTCGAAGCGTCCAAGTGTTGGAGGTTAAGCAGCATTTCTATCACCCACTCGGAGACCGGACGCGGAAGACGGGGCGGTTAAACCAAGTGCTGTTGAGGGACACCACGTGGAGGCTTACGGATCTGAAGCTTGAGGGGTTCGCGACCACGCAAGAAGAGTTGTTTGGGTTTGTAAGGAGCCAGCTCGCGACGTTGAAGAGGGTGAGGCTCGGCGGACGTGGGATCGCGAACGTGAGGGACAGGTCGAGGGGCGGGATCTGGCTCGAGATGGGGACGTGGTTTGGATTCTTTACGGGGTTGAGGAGCAGGCTGAGGGCGGAGGAGGGCGGCGGTGTGCTGAAGAAGATTCATCTCGAGGGAGACTTTCGTCAGGTAGACGAGGTCGAGGCCGAGGTCGATGGCGAAGGTAGGAGGCTGGTTGAGAAGTATGATTTCTATCCGACGACTGACGACTGTTGGAGGCCTTTGGAGACACCTGAATGGATGAGGGGGAGTCTCGCCGCGACGTGCTTGGATGGCAGTGCGTTCGCACGGTATGTTCTCGAGGACGAGGATGTGGGTTATCCCGGCTTCGCATGGTGAACTCACGGTAAGGTTTAAATGCGCTGTCGTTACATATCCCATTGCCTCGACAAACGAGGCGGTTTGGACGGCGATGGATATAGCGGTGCTTGTCACCCATCCCCGTCCGAATATCTGCGACTGCGCAGTTATTATGGCTGTAGGGTTGTGACTGGTCCTCCGTTATGGGAGATGTTGACATTTCGAGCCTGTTCATTAGCATCGCCGCTCTCGAACCAGGCAGACTCATATGTTCGTTCCCTCTGCAGGCCATGTCTACCTGACTTCCTATGTGGGAAAGGCTCTGTTCTATTTGGTTGACAACAATTACTGGACCAGATAGTCGAGAGGCCTCGAAGTCCTTTTCTGCTAATTTAACTATCATTGGCCGGGCGATTTCCTTGGATGCCCAACTGGAATGCCCCCTGTTCGAATGCTGCGGCTCCACCCGCAACTCGACAAGTTAAAAGGTTATGAGCACACACGCCGGACGAGGCCACTGAGTTTGATTCCAGCAAGTGGCTCATGCAAAAGGAGTAGACCGGGTCACTCGATTGGCAAGAGGCGTGCATTCACTGTGGCTCGACAATATAGTCTCAGTATTATTGCAGCTAATAGATTTACTGAACGGGTGATTCTAGTAGCATAAGATCTCATATACTCAAGGCTCGCTGCCTCACCACTTCGCCGTCATACCTTGAAGTTCTGCAGTGATGCCATTTCGACACCAACGACAAAGTGGCAACCTCACAAACCCCGATGAATACGGCTGATATGCCGAAGAGACAGAAAGTAAATCCGACCTCGAAAGACTCAAGGGTCGAATTGATGTTCAATTGAGCAATGTTGAGCACCAGACAAAAACCCCGTGCTAGCATCAAGGCATGTAAGAGAAAGTCGAGCATCAGCCACACGAGACTTTATCAAGCCACATATACAGTGGCTGGAGCTCCACAGCCTGGAGCGGACCCACCCGGTAGCTTGTTCACCCGCAGCCGTCGCGAATGCTCATCTGATTGGCCAGATGCTTGCCCAAATTTCTGACCAGGCGAAATAGTTCGAGCTCTCAGAAAGGGATTCATGATCCTTACCAGCAGCCTCGTTAACCCCAATTGCCAGAGATGGCGAACCCCAATGCAATGCGGCCATCGATAGGTCGCGTACTGCGGCTCCAAGAGACCCGGCAATGGCTGCCCTCAACATCAACAATGGCGGCGCAGCCCCGAGCCGCAGCAGCATGCTTCTCGACTTCGGCTGCGCACTCGGTGCGCAAGACCCGCGACAACAACCGCTTGCGAGGTGTCAGTACCATGAAGAGGACCGGTCCCCGTGAGCCGCTCTCCGTCTCGTGGGAGACGCTACCCAAGCCGGCGAACTACAAGCCTGAGGTCGCGGTGGACCCCAACCACGGGCTCTGGGGCTTTTTCTACGGCAAGAACAAGCTTATGCAGACGCCCAAGGAGGATCAGTCTCACGGCCGCGCGTGGACGGTGGAGGAGCTACGAAAGAAGAACTGGGAGGACCTCCACACGTTGTGGTATGTCTGCCTGAAGGAGCGGAACCGCATCTCGACGACGAGTCGCGAGCGGGAGAGACGCAGACTTGGATTCGGCGCCTACGAGGCCAACGAAAGGGACGAGACGGTTTGTGATCGCCCTGCTATGCGATAGAGATACGAGCGCTGACATGTACGGGTGCAGGTTGTCACAACGATGAAGGCGATCAAGCACGTTTTGACCGAGCGCTTTTACGTTTGGGAGGATGCGCGCAGGCTGGCAGAGGAAGACCCCGAGATCGACCTCTCTGGCGAGGGAGAGGCGTACACGCCCCTGTCGGGATACGAGGAGGATTTGACGAGCAACAAGTATCTGGCCGAGGAGGTTGAGGCCGCGGCTGCAGAGTCACCAGTCGTCGAGGCTCTGGTTGAGCCCGAGACTGAGAAGGAGGCCGCGCCGGCCGCGCCGCAGGCCGAGGCCAAGGAGAAGCCCACGCAGGCCGAGGCGGCCAAACCGGCGCAAAGCAAGCCTGCCGAACCCTCGCTGCCGACACCGAAGTTCTGAGCAGCCCGGTAGCTGTAATCTCTCCGTCCGGTACGAGAGCCGACGACGGGAGAGCCATGTACCATTGTATCCAGACATGTATAGACTCTTGTACGATACGAATATCTTGTGCCAGGCATATCATCTAAAAGCCGTCCAAAAAGACATCATTCCCCTGCAGACTGGCTATTGTGTACAACTTTTGTAACTAAAGCAATGCGCACGACATGACGGGGACGATTTTCATAGCTAGGTCGGATGAAAGGTCCCCCAGTAGCAAGCTTTGCATAATTATGAGGAGTAACTGAGCAATGGATGAGACTTACATTCGCATAATGTTACAGAACCGGGACGGGGAAGGGCGGGAGCTGGGTCCTGGTAGCAGGGACAAGCCCAATCACACCGCCGAGTACACCAGCCAGCCAGGAACACACAAAGAACGAGCTGGACAAAGGCCAAGGTACCTGACCTTGCCTCAGGCGGCCTCGGTCGGTCCATGTCTTCTCTGCTAGCGGTGAGCAGGTGCCCAGCGCAGAAGAGCGGGCGGAGAGCGGACCTCTTGCATGGGCCACTGGCAACGCACTGGAGCCGGACAGGCCTAGGCGAGCGCAGGCACTGGTCCCCCAGTGACACACTTGACGCTGAACCCCTCCAGAACCGCTGGACGACCCAGGTGATTACAGTAATCTAGCAATCTACGGCATAGCAGGTGGCTCTCGCCCCCCCCACTCGATCCTCCTTTTGCTGCATTTTCGGTCCCATGTCTCCCCTACGTCGCCCGCAACACCGCAACAACTTTCGCCAGACGTGAACATAACATACTTTTCTCCCCGTTCCCATTTCCACCTCCCCCCTTCTTCTGCCAAATCAACACCGATCTGCCTTATTTAATACAACAACCACCACTCCTCTCTCGCCGCAAACATGGATGAGATTGCAAAGGAATACGATGTCATCGTGCTGGGCACTGGTACGTGACGTTACGCCCATCCTCCTTTATTGCCCCGCATCGTCGCTCGTCGGCGAGTGGGGTCCCCGACTACTCGGAGGAGCTTCCTGGCTAACTGACCGACTCACCGTCTGCTGCATCTAGGCCTCACTGAGTGTATTCTTTCTGGGTAAGCAAGCTTCCGATATCATCGCCGGGTCCTTCATGGTATGCTAACACCCCTTCTCCGCATGCAGTGTCCTCAGTGTCAAGGGCAAGAAGGTCCTCCACATTGACCGCAACGACCACTACGGCGGGTAAGTTTCGACCCCCATGACCGCCATTTGCCTCCCCCTCCTTTCAGCCTCAAGGAGCCAGAGCTAACATTGAGCAGTGAGGCAGCTTCCGTGAACCTCGAGACGGTAAACATACCCGAGCTCCCTGCCTGTCCCCCGATTCGAGATCTGACTCTGTACATCCGCAGCTCTTCAAGAAGTATGGCAACTACGCACAGGGCGAGGAGCCCTGGACGAAGTACGGCCGTCTGAATGACTGGAACATTGACCTCGTCCCCAAGTTCCTCATGTCCGCTGGCGAGCTGACCAACATTCTCGTCTCGACCGACGTCACACGATACCTCGAGTTCAAGCAGGTCGCTGGCAGCTACGTCCAGCAGGGCCAGGGCTCCAAGGCCACCGTTGCCAAGGTTCCCTCCGATGCCGGTGAGGCCCTGCGCTCGCCCCTGATGGGCATCTTCGAGAAGCGCCGCATGAAGAGCTTCATCGAGTGGGTTGGCACCTTTGACCTCAAGGACCCCGGCACGCACAAGGGTGAGTACAGCCACTGAGAAGCTTCAAGCAATCGCGAAAGTGGCTAACATGCGTAAGGTCTTGACATCAACAGGGTCAGCATGAAGGAGGTCTACGACAAGTTCGGCCTCGAGACCGGCACTCGCGACTTCATCGGCCACGCCATGGCCCTCTTCACCAGCGATGAGTACCTCAACAAGCCCGGTAGCGCCCCGGAGGCCATCGAGCGCATCCGCCTGTATGGCACCTCCGTTGCCCGTTACGGCAAGTCTCCTTACATCTACCCTCTGTACGGTCTCGGCGAGCTTCCCCAGGGTTTCGCGCGTCTGTCGGCCATCTACGGAGGTACCTACATGCTCAACACCAACGTCGACGAGGTGCAATACGAGGGCGGAAAGGCTGTCGGCATCAAGGCCACTATGACTGGCGTTGAGGAGATGAAGTTCGAGACCAAGGCCAAGATGGTTCTTGGCGACCCCAGCTACTTCCCTGGCAAGGTCAAGGTTGTTGGACAGGTCCTGCGTGCCATTTGCATTCTGAAGCACCCTCTGGCCGGTACCAACGACGCCGACTCGTCGCAACTCATCATCCCCCAGTCCCAGATTGGCCGCAAGAACGGTAAGTTTGGGAGCATGCAGCAAGATGTCTCGACAGGATGACTGACCAAAACTAGATATCTACATCGCCTGCGTCTCATCGGCACACAACGTTTGCCCCAAGGGCTACTGGATTGCCATCGTCTCGACCATTGCCGAGACCAACGCCAACCACCACGTCGAGCTTCAGCCCGGTCTGGAGCGTCTCGGCCAGATCGAGGAGCAGTTCATGGTAAGCAAGATTCCGCAGGAGATTCTGTACGAGGCACACAACCCTAACGGTTTTCAGGGTGCTCCCATCCCCATCTACGAGCCCACGGACAACGGTACCGGCGACAACGTCTTTGTCTCCAAGAGCTACGACGCCAGCAGTCATTTCGAGAGCACGACCGACGACGTCAAGGATATTTACCGCCGCGCCACCGGCGAGGAGCTCAAGGTCGAGGGCCTGAGGGAGGGCCTCCAGGTTGCGGGCGAGCAGTAGGCGCGAGGTTGATTTCATGGAATGGTTGCTGGAAGCAGGGGGGAGCCAGGTCTGAGAGGCATTAAGCCCTCATACATCACAACAGACGACAATCCGGAGTAGAATATATACCTCGGACGTAAACATCTTAGGGTGGTGCTCTTCAAAGTTATTTCAAGCCAAATTACTGCACTCTTGGTTCATCGACTATTATCATGTGTCTTGTGTCACGACGTGCCATGCGCACATTGAATTAGGGCCATGGACTCAATCTCAGGTTTCTCATTCAGGGTATTCAACGGTCTTTTGGTCGTGGCCTCTGTGGCCGAACAACCGTAAACGACGCGTACAAATCAGAGCAACCGCGACGCTTTTGATGTACGTTTCTCAAAAGGCTGTACGAAGTTCCTCCGTCCTTCTCCCGCGCCTCCGGCATGTACCGCGTCCCATCTAACCCCCCCGTGCTACGGTCGGTAGGTAGATGGCTCCCCGCCCCACATGCCCCCTCTTCCCCGTCTTCTTTTTTTCTGGTGACCGCCACGTGAATGAAGGAGCAAGAAAACAAACAGACCAAACGCCGCCATGCCGAAAAAGAAAAGGGGAAATCAAAAGGGTTCCGAAAACAACAATGAGCATATCTACTTTTATTCTCTTTCCGTAAACATCCATTACCGTCTTCCCACCGCTGGCTGGGCGTCTTAACGTCTCTGGTTCTTGCCCAAGCCACGCTTGCCGGCAACCTAGGTGGGGGGGTGTTAGCATGATGTCGCGAAGGGGGGGCCTTGGGCCGGGGGGCGAGTGAGGACAGGGAATCAAAACTTACCAAATGTCTTTGCAGAGAAACAGTGGTGTGGCGATCACCCTCACCCTGTCTGGCCATGCGGTTCCTCTTCTTCTGGGACAGCTTGGCGAGGCGATCGGCCTTGGTGCGGTCTTCGACGTCCTGGACACCGTCCTCGCGGCGGTTGACGATGGGGGCACGGCTCTGGCTGCGGGCGCGGCTGTGGGAGCGGAGACGCTCCTTGGGGGTGGCGTCCATGTCCATCATGTCGACGTCCTCGGTGCCGGCGCGGGAGCGGGCGGCAGAGCGGCCGCGGGGGCGGGACTGGGCGCGGGCGCGGTTGACAATGTCGGTGGTGTCGACACCGAGCTGGTCGAGGGCGTCGTCCATCTGGGACAGCGGCACCTTCTGGGACTTGCGCGGGATGATGGCCTGGTTCTTGAGGCGCTTCTTCATCTTGGCCTCGTTGCGGATGAGGGCCTGCTTCTCGCGGATCAGCTCGGCCTTGGAGAGCACGTCGGCCTCCTCCTCGTCGTCGAGCTCCTCGTCCGACTCGTAGTAGCCCTCCTTCTCGAGGCGCTCCTCCTCCTCCTCGAGCGCCTGCAGCTTGGCGTCGATCTCCGGGTCGATGAAGTCGTAGACGTTCTGGCCGTTCCACACCTCGGGGATCTTGTCGTGCTTCCACTCGGGGTTCTTGAGCAGCCAGTCCTGGCGCATGTCCACGCTGTAGACGCCGGCGCCGCCGTTGTCGGCCTCGACGTCCTTGGCGAGGCGCCGGCGCTCAGGGTCGTCGCGGTCGTACTTCTTGAGGTTCTTGACGCCCTCGGGGATGAAGGTCTGCAGAGGCTGGGCGGTGCCGGGCTGGGCCACGTGGATACGGGCCATGACGTCGGCGAGGCGGCCGCCAATGTTGCCGCTGCTGTTGGTGCCGGCGCTGAGCTTCTGGGAGACGCGCTCGGCGATGAGACGCTCGCAAACGGTGTTCTTGACGCTCTGGACGCCCTCCTGCGTGTTGCACGACAGCTGGAGCATCTCAACCTCGCCTGACTTGAGCAGGCCCTGAAGCTGCGCCTGGGTGGCGGCGTCGAGGTCCTCGGGCTTGACGACGTCGATCTTGTTGACGACGATGAAGACAATCTTGTTCTGGAACAGGGGCTTGATGCTCTGGAAGAGGTTGATCTGGGCCTGGATCGAGTAGCCGCACTGCTCACTCAGATCCATGAAGTACAGGATGGCGGAGCGCAGATGGGCAATCGCGGTAACGGACTGCATCTCAATGGTGTTCCTGCGCAACGGTCAATATCTCTATCCCACGGATCTTGCGAGGCTGGTTGTTTGCTTACATCTCCTCGAGGGGGTGGTCGAGAATACCGGGGGTATCAATGCACTGGAAACGAAGGTACTTGTAGTCAAAGTGACCGCAGAAGAGCGACTTGGTCGTGAAAGCATACGGCTGGACGTCGACGTCGGCTCTGGAGACAGACTTGAGGAAAGAAGACTTTCCGACGTTGGGGAAACCCGTGATGAGCAGGGTTCTGGTGTTGGGGTCGATCGAGGGAAGACGACCAAGATCTGGGTTGCATGTCAGTGAGTTCAAGCGCGCCCGGAAAGAAGCTGTATCTTGTCACTTACGCTGTCTGACCTGGTCAAGGTACACCAAAGGGTCCTTGAGGCGCTTGATGAGCGTCGCCATGCGACCAAGCGCGGCGCGCTTCAGCTGCTTGCACTGGAACAGCGACTGGCCATACTTGAGAAGGCGAACGTAGTCTCTGGAGATGGTCTCGATGAGGTGCTTGGCGGTGGACAACTGGCCGAGGGCGATCTTGAAGTGGTCGGCGTCGTAGAGGGTGTTGATCAGGTCTTTGTGGAAGGGGTGGATGTCGTTGAGACGAGGGAACGACTCGATGATCTGGCCGAGCTTCTCGCTGATGGTCTCCTGGGTGAACTTGACCTTGCGGGTGTAGAAGCCGCGGATTCTCGAGATCTTGAAACCGGATCGGATCTGGGTCGGCAGCCGGCGCTGCGTCCTCGAGAGGACGATGTCGAGAAACTCTTGCGAGTTGGGGACCGGGGGGAGGTCCTTCCACCTATAGTTCACGGGAATTAGCAAAACTGTATCGGAGAATAGAGGCGCGGGACACCATCGAACGTACTGAGTCTTCATTTTGGGCGTCTGGGGGTCTGCGTTGGAGGAAGAGAAAAACTTGAAGCAGAGTCCTCAGATGTTGCGATCGGTCAAGGTGCACCGTCGGTGAACTGGACGAAGCACTCAGGATGGGGGGCGAACCTCCTGCACACAAAAACTTTTCGGTTTGCTTATCTTATCAGACGCACGGACGAAAAGTGCCAAAGCGACGGGGCCTGGCATCTCATCCTTGGCGCCCGTTTTTTTCTGCTGTGTGCTCCTTCTACCACCTACTTTGAACTATTCCAGACCCAGTGATGGCCCATTACCGATACCTGTACTCTCCATGCATTCGTCGGTTTTCTGGGTCTATAGAGCAATGCTAACCTTTTTTCATGAAATTTTTGGCTTGAAATGTTGCTGAGCCTACTGTGCAATAGTGTCTCGGCGGGTTAAAGTGAGTACATGCAGGGACTGCGGACTCCTCTTCCCGACTTTTTTTTTTTTGATCGAATTTTCTTGGTGGGGCACGTCCCGCGGGGCAGACGACTATCGATGGAGGGGTATCCGGAGCTGTCCTTCGATTTTTGAAGACTCTCATCCACCAGCCTGTGACAAGCCAAATTCTGGAAGACCGACCCCAACCCTCACGCCTTGTTTCTCCCGTTCCAAAGGAAACCCAAATAGCCCCATTCAAAATGGCCTCCCAGCTGCCCCCCTACAAGCAGGACTTCCTCAAGGCCGCCATCGACGGTGGCGTCCTGAAGTTCGGCTCCTTCGAGCTCAAGTCGAAGCGCATCTCCCCTTACTTCTTCAACGCCGGCGACTTCTACCGCGCCGACCTTCTCCGCGCCATCTCGCTCGCCTACGCCCACACCGTGATTGAGGCGGCCGAGGCCACCGGCCTCGCCTTTGATGTCGTCTTCGGCCCGGCCTACAAGGGCATCCCCCTCGCGACCTCGACTACCGACAAGCTCGCCGAGCTCGACCCGGCCCGCTACGGCACCACGTGCTACTCGTTCGACCGCAAGGAGGCCAAGGACCACGGCGAGGGCGGCAACATTGTCGGCGCGCCCCTCAAGGGCAAGAAGGTCCTGATCGTCGACGACGTCATCACCGCCGGCACCGCCAAGCGCGAGGCCATTGCCAAGATCCGCAAGGAGGGCGGCGAGGTCGTCGGCATTGTTGTTGCGCTCGACCGCATGGAGAAGCTGCCCGCCGCCGACGGCGATGACAGCAAGCCCGGCCCCAGCGCCCTGGGCGAGATCAAGAAGGAGTACGGCATCCCCATCTTCGCCATCCTGACGCTCGACGACATCATTGAGGGCGCCAAGAGCTTCGCTTCCGCCGAGGACATCAAGCGGACGGAGGAGTACCGTGCCAAGTACAAGGCCACCGACTAAATTCTCGGGGAAAGGGGGCTTGGTTTGGTTGGAGGGTTTAAAAGCTGGAATTATGGCATCGGTGTCGGGTCTGGCTCATAGTCAGTGGTTGGCGCTCATAGGGATGGACAACTTCGTCGGGCCTCTTTGGGTCAGGCGCATAGGATGATAAAAGCGATCTGGGAAGCGGCGTGCGCATATGAAAATACCTCACGCGGAAATGAACACCAAAAGTATGGGGTTTAACAGTAAAACTCTTGTGGTATTTCCCTTGCTCATCTCTTCTCAGAGGCAAGGGCACTCTATGTCATGATCCTCGTCCGGTCGTTTGCCTCAACGTGCGTGTCCGATACCGTTTTTGGAGATTTTTCATCCCACGGGTATCGTTACGCGGGAGGTAAAGAAAGCAAGAAAAGAAAAAAGCAAAGCCATTAATCCATGCAAACGTGCAGTCGTCTCATCCCGGCGACCGCGGTGTATGCACCCATGTACCCATCATCCTTTCCCGTTTATTCGTTCGGAACCGAAAGACTATGAAAGTCTCGTCCCTCGATGAGAGAGCACAGGTACAGAACGGACGGTTAAAGCCCTCAACGGACACCCTTGAGGCGGAGGGCGCGGTTCTACTCGTCTTGCGTCAAAAGGGCGTCGATGGATTTCTTGGGGGGCCCGGAGAGGTCAAAGACCTATTGAAAAGGGTGTTAGTCATCAACTGTGAGGGGATGAGAGTCACAAATTTCCTTACCATGTCATTCCAATTGCCGCCGGCGAAGGAGGTCTTGCTGCGACCAAGACACCTGAAGCCAAAGCGCTGGTAGTAACTAACCATCCACTGTGCCATGTCAGTATCGACCAGCAACGAAGGAAATAGGATGCATTAGTGAACTTACGTCCTGGCAAATCAGAGCGATACGATCAGCAATACCGGACTCGTTGATCTGCTGCAGGTATGCCTTCATGAGCAGCCTGCCCAGGCCGCAATTTTGCAACTTGGGAAGGATGGCAAAGGAGTGAAGGCAGAGGGTGCGGCCCATGACCTTGTGGCCGAGACTCGAGTCCTTGCACGACTTCTGGGTGCGCCAGTTCTCAGGATAGGCCATGTCTTCGTCGGTGACAACGGGGCCGTTGCCGAGGGTCGCGAGGACGTGACCGAGCAGAACCATCTTGGCCTCGTCCGCGCGACCAGTCTCAACGACACTGGCGACTGCGATAGTCGGGAGCGGGAAGCCCTCGGCCTTGCTCGGGACAATGCTGCAGAAGAGTCCAGTGCAGATGTTTGAGCAATTCGAGAGGCGGTACTCGAACTAGGATGATGTGTAAGTATGAGTGAGGGTTGGAGCACCAACGGCATTTGGAAATGCACCCCACGATGGTCTCATTCTCGCGCGAATCGAGCAACTCTCGAGGCAAACCACGGGGACTCGAAGGCAAGCGGCTCAGAGGCAGCAGGATATCAAGGGAGGGGTAAACGACGAAAACGAGGGACATGTAAAACTCACCTTCTCGCGCGCAGTGCGGTGATCAGGGTCGGGAAAAGCAGCCTCGTCGAGAACGACGCAAGAGTCGACGTTGGACTCGGTAAGTGGCAGAACCAAGGGACTCCAGCGGAACGGCAAGTCACACAGGCTCAGACGGCCCGAAGCGCGTCTCTTTTTGAGGTCGGAAATAGACTTCTGGGCATCGACGTAGGACTCGTCGCCATAGTCGGAATCGTCGATAGCGCAGTCGGATGCGTTGCCGTCCGCCTTCGCGATGGGGGGATCCTTTTTATCAGGCATGGCGAAGAGCTGGTGGAAGATGATGTAGCCTGGTTCTTGGACGGTAGTTGGAGGAAATGAGGCTTGATGGTGAGAGAAGTATACGATGTGGGGGAGGGTAAGGAGGATTGAAGTATGAGAGAAATGCTTGGACACAGAGAGAAGGGCCAAGGTAATCAGATAAGTGCCTTCCTCTGTCAAGTTATTCCTTGCTGATTTGTAAAGAAGAGAAAGGATACCACGACAAAGCGAAAGCAAGGCTCAAAGCGGAGGCCAGACAAGGCGGGCGCTGCCGCTGGTGCGCCGGGCGACTGATTGAGCGGGTGCAGACACGGAGGGCGACGGATGACACCGGCGATTCAACTCGGCGCTGACGTTGCAGGGCGGGGCCGGATGGGGCTGTGAATCAGGTAATGGGCGGCCGAATGACCGATATCCTAGGCCGGTTGAGCACCAAAGTTCCGGGGGCAGAGCGGGTGTCGGACAGCGGATAACAGAGGAAGAAAGCCTAAAGTGGTCTCGGGCTGAGACAGGCGGCACAATGCGCTGTGACGGGCGAGAACAGGAATGGCGAGTGCAGGTGCGGATGACCTGAGCCAAAGGAGAAAAGGGGACAAGGCCAGCGCAAAAGTATGAAGTTGGTAGAAAAGCAGTTGGATTTGCGCTGGTCTGGAAGAAGATGAAGAAGGAATTGGAGTTCAATGGCTTGCCATTACATAGGAAACATACTCCATTGGATGCGCCCGAGCTGGCATGGTGTATGATGTGTTTGTCGCGTGACTGACCTATCCGCAATGGCACAGTTGTGTGGCCTGTTTGGCCCATGGGCGACTTCGTGCCAGTCTCCATCTTATTGCCCCTCTTCCTTGAGATTCCTCTGGTTGCGACGTTAGGCTAGATGATGCGGTTGATGCTGTGTCTCTTCTGTAAGATGGTAGGGTAAGGAAATACCCGTTTGCAAGGCAATGCGGTTAACAATGGATCCCATCGCCTTCTTTCAGTTCAGTTCAAGCCCCCAAGGGCAAGGGCAAAGCTGGTTTGATGGTCTTGAGAGGCTGTACAGTTGGAGAGGCTGTACAGTTGGGGAGACTGTAACCGAAGGTGAGGATCACTGACTTAACATGTACCTTTTCCCCACAATGAGCCAACCTCTACCGCACAGTGGCACAGCGAGTACTGAGCAGCGTCGGCCCAAAAGGAACGGAATCTGCTAGGATGGCTTTGTTTTCTAATGGTTACCATCGACATCGACGGATTGTCTGTAAGTTAGTCCCAGCCAGCTGTCAGTGCACCCCAGTGACCCAGGCAGGCATCAGGCAACGAATAGCAATAGACAGTGGCTTTTTAGGGAAAGGGTGACAAAAGGAGTGCAGAGTTCGGACTTTTAAGAAAGCCGTAAGCAGGCGAACATGTTAGTTGCCAGGCCTTGGCTGACAGGTTTATTGCTCCTTTGCCCTGACTATACATAATGCAGCTTGGTCTATCGTGTTTATACTCCACCGTCGGCCGCCCTCGGAACCTCTTCCAAAATATGCACTATCCGCTTTGGACTTTCTGCTGCAGCACATAGTCGGAGGTTGCCGTCACTCATTGAACTGCGTGTGATGGGCAAAGACGGGTCTGACTGAAGGGCCCCAGACCCAGACCCAGGCCCAGACCCAATGTCTCGTCTAAATCCGAGGAACCGAGGAACTGAGCCGGAAAACTGAACTGCGGTATGCCCACACCTGCCAGAGTTAACCAAAGCGGACGTAAGTGCAGCATCGATTTTCGAGAATCTTTCCGGGACAGCGATCCAGAGTTGCATTGCCCCGCCTCGCTGTCGCATATGCAGCAGGCTCAATAAGGCCTAGATATGTGAGGCACTTTTGGACCCGACGGCGTCAGATGAGCGCAGTCTGAATGATCCGAGCGAGGTGCGACTCAACCCCTCTTGGACAAGGTTGTCTGAGTTGTCTTGGACTCGGTGATGAAAGGTTATAAGTTGCTTAGGCTGAGAAGGTGAATCGCGGTTCCCGGGAGAACTCGATAGGACAGAAGAAAGCAGCTGGTGGGAAACACTGAATGCCAAGCAGCTGCAAAAAGGCTCGTATTGGGTCTCGGAGTCGATCGACTGGAGAGCCCAGCATCGAGCTGACTAGAGTTCCGACCCTCCAGCGGAGTTAACAGAGCCGATCACTCGACTTTGAGATGACATTGGTGAGACAACGTTGAGCGGCCCCAGATTGGAAGGGTTGATCCTCCTCTTACCAGGTCATCCCACATGCTGTCTCAGACATTCATCTTCGGCACTTGCAAATGCGTCTGGAGCAATGAGCGTGGCTTGCTTCGCAGCCTCTTTGGCGTGACGGGAAGGGCACCGCCAACCATGTTGGGAGCATTCTCTATCAGTATACAAGCAGAAAAGAAATATTCGGTCGGGCCTCGCGAGACAATGTCAGGCAGCCCGACATGATGCAAGGCACGGGCTGCACCTTTCTCGTCTTGGTCAGATTTTGTAGAATATGAGGAAGCATGTGTTGATACGTTACGCTTCCCGTCAAGGCTAATGCAGAAGTGTGGCCTCGCATGCCGCAATCATGTATAAAAAACGGCTTGCATGCTTGTCCCGCGTGTAGCCTGAACGATGGGCAGCATCCAGACGGCGCGAATGGGGTCGAGGTATGCTATTAGGCAGGCCCATGCAGATTGCATACTAACTTTGCGAGCGTCAGACAAGTTGGTCCTACTTTCCTTCAGCTTCAGGTACGGTGCCCGTATGTTTGTCATCATCGCACAGAAGCCCACAGGTGGTGTCGAGCGAGAGAGATGTCGCCGGGGGCTTTCGATTGGTGGCCATTTCGATGATCCGTGACCTACCTGTATCCATTTCTGTACCGTAGTGTGTACTGGGCAAACTGAAGACAATTCAGGCGGGAGGGGGGAAACAGAAACAGATCTCAAGTTTTGCACCCTGATCAGGACGGAAGTACCTTGACTACCTACCTACCTTAATCGCTTGCAAGGATGCTCTCAATCGCTTTCTTGGCTCGCGCAGCTGCCGCAGGTTTACGTCAGGTAGCAGACGGCTCATCGCGCGTCTGCCGATACTTGGAAGGTACTTTGGGGCTTAGTCAACGATTAGCTCGTGGGGCTGATATGCCGGCTAGAGGGGGGGACTTGCCTGCAATGCTGTGTGGCCTCAGCAACCTCGGGGCTGGGAAGCGGGTAAGCAGTGCTCAGTGAAGCCAAATACGCCCCCTGAAGGGCAAGGAAGGAATGTTGGAGATGGAGGGCAATGTACATAGGACTACGTGCACTTTGCGCCGTGTGTCCAACGGAACGGGATCGTCGGGTTAAAACAAGCTGCCAGTGTTGTTGTACTGTGGAGTTAGTTGTTAACAGTCTGGCCGGACAAACAGACCTAGGCCCAGCAAGCGGGCAAGTTCCTGTGGGCTTCCATCAGCTTCCGCTCGGCGTGGCCACTGGCTAGTGCTTCTTTCTCCCCTGCGCCACGCTTACAGTACACAGGTATGTACTATGTGTTTACGCACGCAGTACAGCATTCGGTTTGCTCTGTCCTAGCCTGGCCTGTCCTGTCCTGTCCGGTCCGGTCCTGGCCTGGCCACCCACGCCCCCATCCCATCCCCGTCCCCCGTCGCCCCCCGTCCCGGGCCAACTGCAAGCTAGTGTACAGAACGCAAACGGGGGAAACGTAGGGGTCTCGTCACTGCACCCACTTTCTTGACGAAACACTCAAAAGGGTACCTCTGTGGTGGCACGAGCTCTCTACCCTGCTCTACCTACCTACCTACCTTACTCTGTGTCTTCCACCTTCGCTCTTCCGCCTCCCTTGCCTTACCTCAAGAACCCCCCGTCGACGCATCTCATTCCTGCTGTCCAATCATCCAACACAGCCCAACAACTCCGTCATCCAATCGAAACTTTTTTTCCCCTTCCTTCCTCAGAGCGCTCCTCCAGTCGAGACCGTTATACGCTTCTATCCTCCAACTATTTACTTTTTGGATGAGACGTCATCTGTTGTGTTGCCTGAATTCTGGCCCCTCCACAAAGCACACCCCTCCTTCACCCGCAGCTCCGTGCTGAGCCTAACTTCCACTTCGCTTTCGTAATCGTGAAACTCAACGGCTTGTCAGCAGCTTTAGGTTCTTCTGCCTTGTTTCTCACCGCCTGAGAACCGTCCCGCCATTAACCAGCTGGGTAAAGAAGACTGAACAAGAGCCCTCCTGCACCAGGACAATCGCCCACCATGTAAGCTTTGCTGTTCACAGTGAAACCAAATAAGTCTTCCGACTGACAGTTATCCCGCCAGGCGCATCACACTGAGCATAACGAACCCCGAGATTGAGGACCAGGATCTTCTTACGCTGGAGATCTTTCCGGACATGCCTGTATCGACCCTCCGCGAAGCTATCCAGGCCGAGACCACGATCGCTCCTACATCCCAACACCTCTACCACAACGGTCGCTTGATCCAGGATGATACCAAGACGATGGAGCAGCTGCAGATTGCCGACGGCGAGATGCTGGCACTGCACGTGAGGGACATGCAAGGAAGCACTGGTGTGCCGGACCAGGGTAGAAGAGGTCCGCCGCGCCGACGACCGGGAGGACAAGACCCGGAGCTCATCCGCCTACAAATCCTCGGCGACCCCAACCTGCGTGCCGAAGCCACCCGCCAGCAGCCCCAGCTCGCCGCCGCGCTTGACGACCCGCAGAGATTCGCCCAGCTTTTCAACGACAGCTATGACCGAGAGCAGAGAGAACGCGAGGAGCGCCAGAGACAGATTGCACGGCTGAACGAGGACCCCTTTGATGTCGAGGCCCAGGCTAAGATCGAGGAAATGATCCGCCAGGAGAGAGTCATGGAGAACCTCCAGAACGCCATGGAGCATAACCCCGAAGGTATGGATGGCACGGGCGGCGACGCGCCGGACGTCGGAACCGTAAGCTAACTCCACACAGTGTTTGGACGGGTACACATGCTGTATGTCGACGTCGAGGTGAACGGTCACAGAGTAAAGGCACTCGTCGATTCTGGAGCGCAGGCCACGATCATGTCTCCGTCGTGCGCCGAGGCCTGCGGCATCATGAGACTTGTCGACAAGCGATTCGCAGGAGTGGCCCGTGGTGTAGGCACCGCCAACATCATCGGTCGCGTGCACTCCGCCCAGATTAAGGTCGGCTCAATGTTCCTGCCTTGCAGCTTCACTGTCATGGAGGGCAAGCAGGTGGAGCTTCTTCTCGGTCTTGACATGCTCAAGCGTTACCAAGCCAGCATCGACTTGGCCAAGGACAAGCTGATCATCCAGGGCGAGGAAGTGCCGTTTTTGGGCGAGGCCGAGATTCCCAAGGAGAGCGAGGAGGCTTTGGAAGAGGAACCTAGGCTACCGGGACCTGCCGGTACGACCATTGGTCAACGTTCTGGTGTCGTCAGCGGTCCGCAGGGCGCTGCCGCGGCCGCGCCGCAGCAGAACCCTCCTCAGCAGGCGCAGCAGGCGCCTCAGCAGCAGGCTGCGGCTCCGAGCTTCCCCGAGGAACACATCAATCAGCTTATGGCCTTGGGGTTCCCTCGAGAGGCCGCTGTCAATGCGTTGCAAGCAACAGGTGGCAATGTCGAGTTCGCCGCCGGTCTCTTGTTCGGGGCATAGACTGCTTCAGGGGCGCATCGGGTATTGTTTTGGTTGAGCAGGGCCTGCATAGAACGGACGCATGGTCGGAACGGTTGGCATGAACGGTTACGGAACACTCGACTTGGGAGGTAACTTAGACTCGTCGTGGTGCATACGCAGATTGACGCGGGTTGCATTGAAGCGAACGATAGAGCATTTCCACACGTTGAGACCTTGATAATACAACCCTGGATTAGCGTTCAAAGGCCTTGCGTTGAACGGCCTTCCTGCCAATGTCTTCGTCCCCTCAAATCACTGTGACTTGTGCCATGTGCCTTATGGATCAATGATGGCGAAGACGACGACGACAACGACGACGACGGCGAGCACTTCGCGCTAGGCCAAGCACAACGACAGCTTGCTCTGACCGAAATTACAAATCTGTTTTCGAGCGAGTTTCGGGTCCGCGAAACCCCCTTGTCCCAGCATAATCTAAGCAGATGTAACTTTTTATTTACCAAGCACACACACCCCCGGAAGCATACAGACAACCGGATCACCGGATCTTGTACACGCACGGCTTCAAGATGGCCGTCTCGTCCACCTTGTCCTCCTCCGTGTCCCACACGAAGCGCTTCTGCTTCTTTTCCTTTTCGACGAAGCCGGCCGCCTTGGCCGCAGCGAGACCCTTGCCCTTGGTGGGCGCCGCGCCCTTGATGAAGCGCATCTTGACAAACATCCTGTTGGACAGGTCCACGGCGCCCCTGTTGCCCTCGCCCTCGCCCGCCAGCACGAAGCCGCGCTTCCTCAGGGCCTCGACAAAGGCCGACACGTCCGTCTCGCCGCGCTTGTCCTCGTGGCCGTCGACCTCGACGGCGAGGGCGACGCGGTCCGCATCCGTCTCCTCCGGCTCGCCGCCCTTGGCCTTCTTGGTTGCGGCGGCGGCGGCCGCCGCCTTCTTGCGGTTTCCGACGCTGTGCGAAACGACGGCGTTCTTCTGGCGCACGGGGCCGAAGCGGGACTTGATCTCAGCGACCCAGAGCTCGCCCTTCCAGTGGAGGATGCGGTAGGCCTCCTCGACGAAGTCGATCCAGTTGGTGCCCATGAGCGCGAGGCAGAAGATGGCGACGTCGACCGAGTCGTCGGCCAGCGGCAGGTTGGCGATGTCGGCCTTGATGACGTGCTTGGCGGGGGAGTGCAGGTCGTAGCTGAGGACGTTGAGCTTGAGCTTCTTGGCCTCGGGCTCCAGCGTCGACGCGAGGCGGGCGTCGCCGCAGCCCAGGTCCGCGACGTGGCACACGCCGTCGGTGCGCGGGAGCGGGGCGGGCCCGGAGGGCACGGGTTGCGCCCCGGGACGGCCGCGGGCGTTGGGGTAGCGGGCCTTTGCGCGGAGCTTGATGTCGCGGATGTACCCGTCGACGGGGTTCTCGGGCCAGACCTCGACCTGACGGCGGAACCCTTCGTGGTACTCGGAGAACATCTCAGGTGAGTCCTCGAAGAGCTGGTAGGCCTCAGCCGACGGGCGGGTGTAGAGCGTCTCGTTGAGGTGGCGGAAGCGCGCCGAGATGAGCTTTTGCCGCATGGAGCGCTGGAGCGGGGTGAGCTTGGCCGCGGGCGGCGGGACGGGGGGTACGGAGGCGGCGATGGCGGCCGCGGCTTCCTTGGTCGCCTTCTTCTTGTCCTCGGCAGTGGGTTCCTTGCTGGGCGTTTGCTTCTGGGCCTTGGAGGGGGTTCCCGAGGATGGCTCATCGTGCTTGCTCGGCTTGTCCTTCTTCTGCTTCTTGTCCTTCTTGTCGGACCTGGGCGTCTCCTGTGCGTCTCCTTCGCTCTTCCTGTCCTTCTTTTGCTTCTTGCTCGGCTTGGGGGTGGTCGCCTCGTCGGCGTCGTCGTCCTCAACCTCGTTCGCCGGCGCAGCTCTTTTGCCCCCCTTCTTGGACTCGTCATCCTTCCCCTCTCCAAACACACGCTGGTTGACCATGACCGAGTTCGCACCCGTGCCGGGGATCTTTTCCTCCTTGTTGGCCCTCTTGCGCTTCTTCGCGCTGTTGTTCTTCGACGTGTTGTTCTTCTTCTTGCCGCTCTGAGTTTCGGGCTTCAGGGCGTCCGCCGAGACGGACCATCCTGGTACGGCGAACATCTTGAGAAATGCCTGGAGTGGTTCGCAGTGCTTGGTTTATGTGACGACGCCAAGGGAATATGAAAGTGGTGTTGTAATGGGTGAGTTGTAGCTCATGCTCATGCTCAGTCTCAGTCTCATGCCTCATCCACTTTGAATTTTTTTTTTCCCTTCCCTTCCCCAGAGAATCGCTTATCGCACCCCTGCCTACTGATCGGCGCTAGGATGGGATAAGTGAGGGTGGGCCGTGCGCCCCCCACCTCTCTTTCCTCCCATTTACCACAGCTGCATCCCGCGGCTTCTTCTCATCCCCATCCTCGACGTCTACCTTGCAGAACCTCTGAATTCCTCGCCGTCTTTATTACGTAATCGTTTCTATCACGGCTCAGGGCTTGCGGCAACCGGTTGAGTCTGCCGAGGAGAACGGCAAGAATGACGATGAAATCGACGTTGGAGCTTTTGTTGTATGACCGTGGCCAGTGGATTGTACCAGCAACGGTAACGTCTTGTTGATGTTGGAATCTGATGCGGACCAGGAAGATGCCATTGTCAACTATCAATCATCAATCTGGAGCCTCGCTCGACCATGCAACGGCCTTGCGTTAGCTGATCTAGATCCTCTGATATGGCTGCAATGGCGGCTGCCACATCTCAACAAGGCGGTCTGGTGCCACCTTTTCAACAGCAGCTGGACCGCCTTGGCGCAACTAGGGCTGTACCAGCCCTTTGTTGTATGGCGGCCTCCACGACTCCAGGAACGTTCCCTCACCACTCTTGATCGAATCCGACAACCACAGGTCTTCAGTCTTGTCCAACCGCCCAGTTGACGTCCGCCTGCCTGCCTGCTTCGCACTGCTTACCCCAATTAATTGCAGGATCGGACTATTGTGGAACTATGTCGTCAATTGTCCCGAACCGAGCCTTGCTCCTCAACCCCCCTGGAAAAGATCCTGCAGTGTACATTATCCATTGTGGGAGACCGCATGATCGGCGGACTTCGTATGAGTCTCCAGGATCTCGAAGCTCGTCTTGGTCACGACGACATGTGATACCTACAAGACACCCTACTTTTTCCGGCAATGAGTTGATCGCTATTGGTTACTGACCATACTGCCCACCACACATGGCCTCAGCGACTCTAGCTTTGGGCTGGACAGGTCGAAAATGAAATGAAACATGCAGTTCGGTCTTCAAAGCTCATAGTTCTGCACAGCACGTAGCCGCCAGATCGTCCCCTCCGGTTTGTCAACGACGTCAACAACCAAGTGCGGTTACGAGTCTCAACTAGGAGGCACTCCAACATGCCCAATCAGCACTCATCTTCTACTCCCGCTTCTCTCAGGATCTAACCAGATTCGATGGATGAACGGAAAGATAATACAACGGGAACCTTGGAACCCTTCAGAAAAAGCCTCCGAGCTGCACCTTGGCTTCAATGTGTTTGACGGCACCGATCTGCGGAAGCTTGGGTCTGAAGAGCCGCTCCTCGTACAATATTCTGGGTGAAACGAGGTGTAGATTGCGGTGGTGGACAAGCAACCCAGAGGTCAGGAACCCCTTGTTAGGCAGGTTCTTCTAGGTACCACAACGATCGCCGAACTCGTTCTCGAAGGAAGCACTGGTCTGCACTGGCAAATGCGTCGTAATGTGAATCCGGTCATCCCCTGATTCAACGCAATTGCGACCGTTGGCTGTCGTTTCGGCGATGGCGCTAGAATCACCAGCCTGGTCAAGTCGACGTAGTTTATGGGCAGAAGGCAATTCTCCGTGGGTAAAGCCAGGACGACTCAAATCCATGTGAGCCACTGACACGCATGTGGGAGGTCTATTCGGCGAACGGTCGGTTCAACTCGCAGAAGCCCCGACCTTTGTCCCGAAATTACGGGCACGGCGCATTATCCGGCTCTATGGGAAGTTGTTCCTGGATCTTTTTGAAGTTGTCTGCGCGCAAATAAAGAACGGCAAGTTAGGGCATGCCGGCACGGCAAGACGGATAGCAACATTTGGGGGCAGCGACCAGTCTACCAGATCGGTCCCTTATGGAGAGCTCGAAGACAATGTCATGTGAGATGGAAAACCCGAGTATCCTTGTCATCGGCAAAAACTCGGACAGACGCAAAGCTCTCGGTGAAGGCAATTATGCTCTGATACACGGGACCTATTGAGGGCATCGCCAGAAGCGTCTCTGTCTGACTGGTGGGCTGATACCAAACCGGGGCGTCCGACGGAGCACCGAGTGGGAGTCACCTCTAGCCCATACACACCAGGTATCCAGAAACGATACTCATACCGCCGGGTGATATGTAAGCCTTGAGCCGGAACGTGCGACTGCGAGAAGGCTACCTGCATGTTGACCTGCGGTGGCCGTCATTGTGGGCTTCCGTCCAGATCAGATACAGTAAAGATCCGGGGCGCGATGCCAAGGTGTGTCCCTGTCCATCTCGAGGGGCACCGAGAGTTACGAGGCAATCGATAAATGCTGGATGTGGCCAGTGTCGTTCAGCAGCGTGTGGCCAGAAGTGGTCCGTAGTGCTCAGCGCGACTCCTCTGGTTCGACAATGCGCGACGTTTGTGTTGCACTCTAAGCAAGTTAGTTCATTGTACTGTGACTAGTCGTCGGTCACACCGTCCAAGAGGTCGGGAACGTGCTATTGGTTTGGCTGGGTGTCGGATGAGAAGGCGTCCCGAGACTGGGGGGTTGTTGCTGGGATTTCAGCGATATGTTGAAACCAGTCACTCCCCGTTGGGTGTGTCCCCGGCGAAATACTCGCACCCGGCAGCTGGTAGCGTTGCTTTTGTCTAGGCAACAAGTCGGACACATACACCCGGGTATGGAGGCATCCTGCCCCGGCTCACCGAACTTACTGGCTCAAGTCATTACTCACGACGGCCCCTAGGCGCAAGCGTTATGGATCATCAGACCATGCCCCTCCATACGTGAAATTTCAAACAGAGACGGCTTCTTCGAAAACCCTGGCCTTGAAAAAACCTTAGTGTCCCGCTCGGCACATGGCAAGTCGGTCCAAAGCTAGTGGGTGGATGGGATGGCACCCATCCCGCCTAGAACGCCACATCCTCTGGCGCAGCCAACGATCTGGATGCCACTTCCATGACGGGTTGCCGGTTATACAGCTACACTCTGCAGACCTGGCCGATTATTGTTTTTTCCGCGGCGAATGGGCAGCTCATGTTACGCACTGCGGTGAAAGACATTAACGTGCGAATTAAAACTCGACCGGACAGCGGACAACGGACAGCTGGACACTTTTTCTATCCCATGCCGACCGTTTTCACACCACCGGATCACGTCTTGGTCATCGTTCAGGGCGGACTCCGGACGAGGGGCCAGGCCGGGAACCCTGTCTGGCTGGAGGTCTAGACCTCTCAAACCGGGGACGAAGATCATATTCGGCATCTCCATCATTTGCACCCCGCCCCGTGTTCTCTACAATACGACTCAGGCGACGGCATCTTTTAGACACCGGATAGCATATTTGTAATCCATGGCCCATGCCGCGCAAATACGGATCGCAATACCTGGGCTGCGCTCAGATAAGCTTGGCCAGGCTCTCGGGTATGCGAGGACAGAGTTTGTTGGGCGCTGCCGTTGAATTGAGCAGCTTGGCGACTTTCCTATCCCAACTCCCAATCTCCGCGCGCAATCAAGTCTGCATACATTAGGTCATGGAAATGGATGGCGTCTCTGCATGGGGGAAGAGTGAGCCGTACGAGTAGGTTTGAGAGCCTGGCCCCAGACTTGCCATTGTACTCTCTGCCTGCCCGCCTTCGCACACCAGCCTACCCAAGCCAGCTCCCCAAAGAACAAAAACCCAGCTGCTCGAAGGGGACGGGACCGGGCAATGGTCCAGGCCGAGCGGACCGATATCATGTTTCCTGTTACCGTGCGCTACATCCACCGATGGGCTGTCATTCGATTCGGGCCACGAGGCCCCTGACAAGAGACGTGGATGCCGCCGTCGGCCCCCTCTTTCAGTGGCAGCCGAGGGACCGACCCTAAACGGCTTAGGCCTTGGGCCGCCCAGGTACAGCACCATGGCACTCAAGAACATGTCCAAAATCACTACGGGTGCGGCATCCCTCGTCTCTGCTATGCAAGGGACGGGTACCCCGGTTGACGTTGGCACCGATGCGGCCTTGAATCCGGATGCGAAGACGCAGGAGACCCTATCCAACTAGCCTACGAAGTGCACTGGACGCTAGATGGGGTCGATCCGAGCAAGGCGACGCCTTGTACTTTTGGTGTCATGGATCGGTCGCACGCCACTGTCTGTGTTGTTTCCTCCCTGCCATCGTTGTCTTGCCGCACCTCCAATCTGGTGCGCGAATGACACTCACGGCACCAACACCACTCACAGTTCAAGGGTACCCTATCCTATTCATGGTTGTGGCGGCTAGTCTCCGTCCTACACCCTTTCACCCCTGTCTTTTCGTCCCATAAACACTTACTCTGACAACCCTAAGCGTCTTCAAAATTGGGACCATCTGCCCGCCATCTGTCTCTAGTGACAGCAGCAGCAGCAGCAGCAGCAGTAGAATTAGCACCGGAGACAATGATAGTGTCTGTAGTACCCAGCATCCCGCGCGCTTACAAGGGGGAAACCCCCGAGCCAAGGTGTGCAGAGCAAAGACGGAGAGAGACACACACTCTTATCTCGCTCTTTATTCGTCCTAGCGGACCGGTTTGGTGCCTCGTTAGGTAACATACAGGTATCGTTGTGAGGTGCCAACCTCCATCGTCTGCTTCTTCTTCTTCCCCTAACAACACAACCCCGGTCTTCCCGGCCTCCTCATTAGTCTTCTCGCCGCTTGGCGGCCGTGGCTCCCCCGTTGTTTGTGCTGCGCTTGCTCCCCCACGCCCTCCTTCTTTAGCCTCGATTTTGAGATACCCTAACTCGAGGCACAATACATTACGTTGAACGTTTCCCAACCTACCTGGTCCTCGGCCACGGGAACCTGTCTCTCTGATCCTCGTGTCTTGGGAACAAGGGGACACGCTTCTC